CATTAACGATCCCGAAAACATTACAGACATCACCAACATTGTACCTACAATCCCTAAGTCCAACCCTAACACATGAACATAGTGTAATCGCAGAAATTGGTGGCAAAGCGGAATGACCAACACTCCCCTGAGCAATGTTCTGAACTGACACTGAGCTCATCACAAGAGTTACTGTACAAAATTGAATTTCCATCATAGTACCAAACTTATTCAGATGTCTCTTAACTGATTCTGCGCTCCCCTGCAAAAATGTGCAACTGAGACTTTTTTCGTCCCTCATATACAAGCCGGACGCCCCTTCGGATCTTCAAGACTTCACCTCCACTAGAGAATTTATACCTGTTTGAATCCAGAGCACTCAGGGAGATAAGATACTTCTTCAAGTCTGGAACATGTCGAACCTGATCAAGTATTTTGACTGTCCCATCCTGCAACTTCAATCTGACCGAATCGATTCCCGCAACCTGGCAAGATTGATCGTTTTCCATGACAACTCAACCTTACTTAACCGTTCATATGTCTAAAACAAGTCTGGTTCGGACACACATAGAACGAACATGTTGATTCTAGAATTTACTTTTCGTTAGGCTTAGACTCCATGTCAAACACAATGGTTAACATCACATCAACACTATTAGAAAAATCCTCGGTAATATTGGTCTCACCCGAATTAAATGATTGCCTCCCATGATTTGCAACTAAATTACCTTTAGCCTGCAACCTTTCACAATCCTTCCTGATGTATCCTTTCCTCCTACAGTAGAAGTAATACACTTTGCTAAAGTTCACCCTCGATCTATCCCTCCGTCCCTCACCATGGGATTTTAGAGTATCATCATCCCTATATGTAGCTCCTTTGAGAACAAAACAACATAAACATCTTCAATGTTTATATATCTACAATGATTTCCTTGAACATAGCCAAGTGATCTTCCAATGATCCTCTTTTCATCATGCGATGAGAATACAACTTTACTTTAAATGCAATTTGCTAGTAAGACTTTTAGTCATGTACAACTACTCCAGTTTCAACCACAAAGTAGCTATCATTTTCTCCTTCAATACATCCTGCAAGATGACATTGGAGAGGTGATGATGAATCTGCGATAGAGCTTTCCATTGTTTCTCCTTCATTGTCCAATTTGCTAGCATCTTATCAAAATCCAGCAAAGTATCATCTAAATCCTTTTGCACCAACACAGCCCTCATCTTTACTTGCCACAGTGAAAATCTCGTATTGCAATCCAGTAGTGGAATATCATATCTCAATGTAGCCATCTCTAATAAATCACAATCAAATCACAATGAACGCGCATCCTAGCTCTGATACTGCTTGTTGATCCCAAAGGTGTTGCAAGAATTGACATTCACGACCTAATATGAAATATGTATGATCACAATCAATAGAACAAGATTAAAGTAAAACACAAGAAGAGAGATAAGCAGAGGAACTGATGTTTTATTCAATAACAATATGAAGAGAAATTACAACTTAGCAATACTTGCTTCACAAATCTAGAAAATGAATCTAGCACATATAGGGAACAATCAAATCCTTAGAAGTCGAGTTGTAAATGAAATAAAATGCCAAAAGTTTCCTTATCCTAACATCTTCAAGTCCTACACAAATTTCAACTCCCAATAGAGCTTCCAAATAGAACTTAATTAGAATTTGACAATTAAACTCGAATAGGATTCCACAATAACATTTCAATTAGAATTCCTCTTGATCTCACTTCAATTAGAACTCTATAATTATTTAACAAGGAATTTGGGTTACACTCAATTCTATCATAACTATGCTTTGTAATCTTATTTTGCTGTTGTCTCATGAAAATTAACGAAATAGACACAAATTCATATATGCAAGAAGGGCCGGGTTGCACTTGTTGAAAGGTCCGTTTTGAAAATCGAATTTTTTATTTGTTGGCCTACTTACCCGTGGGTTGGTCTGGTCTCTTGTACTTATATAGCATAGAGTGGTGTGGCAATTTATTATTATTATTTTTTTCAGCTTGTAAGTTATTATCCACACATTCTATAGCACTTACAATTTTTATTCACACGTATTGTAGAACTCATAGCTTATAATCTATAGCAAATTTTACCAATCATATCTCTATTTTGATGTTGATCGATCCTAAATAAATGGATTTTATGAAAACTATATCATGTTACATTGTTATCGATATATGTGGCTTCATGACCTACAATGTTTAAAATTGATAAATTTTTTATGTTTATATTGATTAAAATTAGATTGAAATAATAGTTGGCAATGAATTCATGGTTAACCATCTAAACAAGGTTATCATTTCAAGATAGAAGATTGAGATCAAATGAGTAATTCGACGAATTTAACGATCAAATGACCATTTGAATTTAACTCTTGTTTCAACCCCATTATTTTCATCAAAATATATTCTTCAACAATAATTTGACCAAATTATAATCACACATTCTTTATTAAAATAATATTACACGCAAATTTAAAAATTTTCTTTATTTTTTAGCAACACATTTCTCATCAATAAACTAATCAAAAATGTATTTTTTTGGCAAGAATATGGCTCAAGCAAGGGCTTAATATTGATATCCTCATAAGTAAGATTGGCAAAATTTCGTCTGTTGGACAAGCCCCATATATTTTATATTCTCATTCAAATTATTTCTTTCTATTAATGAAGTTGAATTTTTTTAAATAGAAGGTCGATATTCGATTACATATCAACGGGGAAATGTTGCATTTTTAAGTTAAGAAATTTTAGTTATGGAGAAGGTGCGGTGAGTGCACAATGTTGATATATAAACGCAACATGATTGAACATTTCTCCTTCAAAAAGCCACAAAATGCAGTCCTCTTTCGTTCGTTTGTCTCTTTCCAAAATATACAATAACTAACTCCCCTACCCCAATTCACTCTCCCTCCATTATTCATGAAATATATATATTCACTTTTACAACGAAATTTGTCGGATTTTTCTTTAACGAAACAATCTAATAATAACTTTTTATATATGATAGAATCTTCTTTCCATTGAAAAGTAAAATTTCTTGATTCTTAGCATTGGATAACATAACCTTCATTTTCTCAAGAAATCATTAGTAGCTTACAAAAAAATTGCTCATTATATGATAGTTTCACCATTTAAAATGAAAAGTTCATATCGTTCTTCATTCCTATTGTATCATGTTACTTACTCTGGTTGCTATTGTAACATTATAAAACATAATATCATGAAACCCAATCTTCTTTGTGGCATCAGTTAGAAATCAAAAGTTTGTTGATGGAGTTCAGATTCACTCACATTTTTACTGTCCTTCAGTAAAATCTTGACATTTTACTACAATTCACTTACTATACCGCTTTTCTAACATTATAAATCATAATATTTGTCTAGCTTCGATCGAAGTAAATGAATAATTTTATTAATAAATTAGGATAACATCCTTTTACCAATCTTCCTTGTGCTAAGTAATTTAGAAACCACATATTTGTGAGCAATGGCAGCTTGGAAACGCGTGACAGATAAGGTACCAAATTAAATGCGTGTACTAAATTAATTTCATGTCTTCCACTATTACTTTTATATAAAGTTTTTCAAGAAGTGCTGTCCAACAACAAATAGAGGTTGTGTACCCATAAAGCATCTCTAACTACCTAATCATCTCAAATTTTAATTACTTATCAAATAAATTAGTTGGGCATGCTTCAAATTCTGGTTGTCAAACAATCGCAACTATTTAAAGTATTTCATAAACTTACTTAGTATAAATATGGAAAACTTTATACAATCTGCAGCAAAAGAATAAGTGCTCGTGTTCTCTTTTTTAACTTCTTCAATTGCCCATTATTAAAATACCAATTTTGTCCCTCACGAACAAAACAAAGTCATTTCATGTCATAGGTCTAGTATTTATGTCCTACGTTTTAATAAATTTTAACCTTTTTTTTTTCAAGATATTACGTGTCGTTATAAAATGTAAAAATAATTTACTATATGACCAACGATAACAATATATAATAATTTCATTATAATCAATGTCCATTTTGGTGATGGTACATAGACATAATAATAGATGCATTTTGTTCTCCAAATGCTCAACTAAAGTCGACTTTGAAACCTAAAACAGTTTTGAAATAGAAGTTTACTTGGCAGAGTTTTCTAACATCGGATTGTTTCGTCACAAGTAAAGCCGATTAAGTGAAAATCTCGACAATGTCTAACCAAACCTTAATATTGTCTACTAATAGCCCAATAGTACAAATAATAATAATAATAGTAGTAGTAGTAATAATAATAATTAACTTTTGTCATCGAAGGAAAATGCACTGTAGGACCCTACCTTATTATTTGAATAAAATAGTCTCCAACTTTTAAATGAATCGAGCAAGTTTGTCCACGATATTTTATAGGGTCATGTTACTCGTACTTATTTATTCACATTTTGGTTTACTCAGATCCACCTCCTCCTCTCACATAGGGGTCGGACCCCACGTCATGATCCCCACATGGGACCCGACCTCATGTGAGAGGAGTGGTGGGGTCGGATAACTCAAAAACAAGTACAAATGGCTTAATTCTATTTTATAATATGATTTTGAAGTTAGACGACAACACATATCTTTCAAATTAATTTATATCAAATCCATATATGGCTCTCACATTTGCAAAAATGTTTTGTAAATTTAATTGTTTTGTCACGTGTTCTATATTTTCATTTTTGTGATAAACTATAGTTTCAGTACTGTCACTTTAGAGGACAATGATAGTTGTCAATGTTTTACGACTTAGCAAATCAATGCTGTCTCGAATTTATCATTCACTCGCGTTATCCCCTATATTATCCATGCCAACTCCAACGATGAAATCATCCTCACGAAACTTTAGTTAGGAGTCAGGTCGAGTCCTCTTCAGATCATGAAATTAAAAATTCAAGGAGGTAGGTAGGCTTGCATACAAAAAAAATAATAAAAAAATAAAAAAATCTTGCACAAATTACGAATGAATAACATGACTAAATCGAGCATCTTTAATTTTTGTATTCTACGCTGCTAATCATAACATTGATTGAAAACATTGTGAAAGTTTTACAGACTATATGCCAGATATGGGGATGAACATACAGAGTCAGCCCCCTAGACAGTTACTGACAGTTATTTTTAACCACAGATTATCAGCATGCATAGAACTCCACCATCTCATCCAAGGACTCAGGCTGAGGATCAGCATTTTCCAGCATCCAAAGAAGGTGCTCGAAAAGCACCACCTCGCAGCCGATAGTTTTCGAATCTTCGCCGTCGCCTGACCGCTCCACGAGCTCCCGGAAAAGTTGATTTTCCATGACATCGGCTGTGATGAAGTAGAGCCGCCGTGACTTTCCTACATAGACTCGGTGGAGGTCCTTGGCAAATGAGCCATCGGCGATTGGGCCTATGGAGGTGCCGTTGGGCCGGCCAAGCTTGAAAGATTGCATTTTCTTGAGAACTGACTTGAGTTTGGTGAGCTTGCCTCCTTTAGCCATTTGGTGGAGGAAAGTAAATTGGGTGTAGAAAATGAGAGGAATTTGGGGAGGTTCGTAATTTAAAGGGCAGTGCAGGGCTGGCAGTCAGTTCGGTTGGGGAACATTAATGAAATTGCATGAAACGAATAAAACATGTGGGGTCTGCCTATTTACTGTAAAGAGGTTTGGAACAGTGTAATTGTAGGGGCAAAACCATTTGCGGCTTTCAGCTATTTGAGTGCTTGTTTGGAAGTACATACTTAAAATTTAAGCAGTCAGTCGAACAAATTGTAATTGTAACAATATAAGATTTGCTAAAGATGTCCCGCTCGGTTATTCTCATTCGACTGTTTTATTGACTGTTTCTTCTGTAATGATTCGGACCTCTCGCTCAAATCGTTAGCTTACGTACTGTCCGTTTTAGGTGAGCCTTGCGCCTACTCATTCCTCACGGCATTCTATCGCATTCTCTCTCTTATGTAAAGGTCAAAAGTTCGAATTCTGGAAGACACGATAGAAAGTCGTGAGGAATAAATGGGTGCAAGGCCCACCCAAAACGGACAGTACGTAAGCTAACAGTTTGGGCGAGAGGTTCATTACATCTTCACTTATTTTTTGAGCTTTTGTTAGCAATTGGAAGTTATTGTATTCGAAAGTTACCTATTCTATGAAATAGTGTAATTCTTTTATAAGTTAATTATGTATATTGTATATCTAAATTTGAGATTTTTCGTACACCCATCATCTATATGTCCGATAAATGTGAGACTTTGCTTGCTGTCTTCCGAAGCTTTTATATATCTGTTTATAACATATATATATATCGTTCACTGGTCTATTTCTATGCATGTCTGTAAAGGAAACAGAAGACAAAATATAGGACAAGACGATGGAATATCCTTGGCAAGAATTATTCCTAACGTGCCACGTTTATATGGGATTACATTACTTATTAATATTAAAATCAGACAAAATTAGAATTTAAGAAACTGAAAGCGATGGGCATGTGCAATTTAAACTTTTCAATCCCGTTTTAGTTATTCAATCTGAATTTTTATTCATCTATTAACAAAATATTAGCAACATCTTAATTAAATAATATTTTTATTAAATTTAATCATTTTCTCATAAAGAGCTACCAGCGGTAACCACCGAACCCTCTTTTTGTTGACATCTCTTAATTATTGTGTGTATATTTATATTATAATTTTGACACAAAAGATACTAACAAAAGTCCATGTTTTTCTCTTTTATAAGTTAGATCGATTAGATGGAGAATTTTATGGTAATATTCAATTCAATTCAATATACGAAGCGTGTTTTGTGCACAAAGACAAGGTTATGTTTCACATTCTTTAGAAGAATTTGCATGCCTATGACCAATTTTTAGATGACGAATTATTGTTTTTTAGAAATGTGTCACGGGTCTCAACTCGATGCCTTGAATTCATGTAAATCCTCTATTTGATGGTTGAAAATTAATTTTAAAACACCTAAATATTAATTTTGTGACTGTCCAAAACTGTCCAGATATGATAATAAAAACAAAAATTCCTAATGTTTGTTGTCAATAATTTAAATGAAGAAACAAAATATGGTCAAAATATAATGAAAGTGAAATATACATTGCAGAGCCATGTGAACAACACATGGACCTGCATGTTACAATCGTTGATCCATGTCAACATATACAATATTAATGTACCTTAATTTCCCATACCATCCCATGTGAATTTATCGTGTAATCATCATCAATGTTATTCACTATGTGACGCCAACAGACTTGATATTTACTCAATTATTATTCACTATGTGAAGCCAACGGACTTGATATTTACTCAATTTTTATTGATTCTTATTCTATTTTACATATTCTTCATTTTTATAGTTTCTTTTTGGATAAATCACTGCCCTCTCTAGATGATATGTAAAAATAGTACTAGAAAGGATAGCTATGTATAACCTCCATACAAAAATAGGAGGGAAAAAAAACAGAGTACAATTTGAAAACTTTTAATATGTGTGTGTGTTAAGTTAGATCGATTAGATGGAGAATTTTATGGTAATATTCAATTCAATTCAATATACGAAGCGTGTTTTGTGCACAAAGACAAGGTTATGTTTCACATTCTTTAGAAGAATTTGCATGCCTATGACCAATTTTTAGATGACGAATTATTGTTTTTTAGAAATGTGTCACGGGTCTCAACTCGATGCCTTGAATTCATGTAAATCCTCTATTTGATGGTTGAAAATTAATTTTAAAACACCTAAATATTAATTTTGTGACTGTCCAAAACTGTCCAGATATGATAATAAAAACAAAAATTCCTAATGTTTGTTGTCAATAATTTAAATGAAGAAACAAAATATGGTCAAAATATAATGAAAGTGAAATATACATTGCAGAGCCATGTGAACAACACATGGACCTGCATGTTACAATCGTTGATCCATGTCAACATATACAATATTAATGTACCTTAATTTCCCATACCATCCCATGTGAATTTATCGTGTAATCATCATCAATGTTATTCACTATGTGACGCCAACAGACTTGATATTTACTCAATTATTATTCACTATGTGAAGCCAACGGACTTGATATTTACTCAATTTTTATTGATTCTTATTCTATTTTACATATTCTTCATTTTTATAGTTTCTTTTTGGATAAATCACTGCCCTCTCTAGATGATATGTAAAAATAGTACTAGAAAGGATAGCTATGTATAACCTCCATACAAAAATAGGAGGGAAAAAAAACAGAGTACAATTTGAAAACTTTTAATATGTGTGTGTGTGTATATATATATATATATTTCGTTGTGGTCAAATTTTCGTAAAAATGTGTCATCTCTGCATTAACTTGTGACGTCGATGAAACCATTACACTTAACATGACATTCGATAGGCTACAATGAACAAGATTAAGAAAGAATTATTAGGTACAAGCAATTTACTACCACATAGGCACATAGCATTAGAACATGAATTATAAAAATAGAAATCAAATCCAATGAACATGTAATCTTGTGTGGATTATATTGTTCACCTCGTCAAGAATGGCAATTTGTTAAACAATCAAGCATAATTCGTAATGATAGTTAGCTCAATTAATTTGTCATTAAGTAACTGCTTACAAGTCTTCAAGATTCCTTTTACCTAAGCTATAATTAAAAAGTGTGATTTTAATATAAGCCGAGTTTTCTCAGTACCGGTAAACATTTATATGTTTATTTTGGATTTTAATGAGATATGATTCTATAGTGGAAGCAGCACAATCTAATCAGGTAGGATTTGCTGCTGAGAGCAAATAAACACCACACATTGTGCTTTAATTGATATTCATTTATTATTTTCTCTCTCTTTCTTGGCATTAATAATCACTGTCGTTAGGCTTCTAGACATGTGATTTAGAAACTTGGATTAAAATCTTTGTAATAAGATTTGGTCATGTGCTTTAGGTCATTAAGTCCACACATTCATGATCAGTCACATTTGCCTAGCAAGTTAGGTTTTGCTACAATTCTTTATTATTTTTGTTGTAATTGATATATTAATACAGATGTTATCACTTCCATGTTCCTTAATCATATCTAGTTATGCTCTGTTCAATGTATTAAGGCCTGTTTGGCAAGGTTTTTAAAATCTAAAAGCTACTTTTGAGATTAAAAGGTCAACAAGCTTCTTTTGAACTTATTATATCTTGCTAGAAGAATTTTTAGAAAAAGTGGGCCTATATGTAATTTTTCCACAAAACTTTTCTATGAAAAGTAGAAGTATAAGTCCTGCTAAGTGATCAATAAATATGCCCTTAAGGTTCTTTCGATTATAAATTTAGAGAGAAAATTGTCGATGCAGTTGCTAAGCAACACAATTTTTCATTCATGTATGAATAATGCTATAGAGGGATGATCTTTTGATTTCCCACAAATGAACGGGATCATGAGCAAGTAATATAGTAGTGTATAGAGTCAAGCCCACGATAACTATGTGTTTGATCGAATTATAGCTATTAATATCCTTAATCGAATAGCAATATAGAGTTGTAGAAAATAAAAGTCTAATTTATCAACTAAGATGAAAGTAAAGCAAAGTCTTATTAAATTCGTGAGATCTATTGCTAAGATGTAGAATCTCTTTGCTAATCCATTTTTAGCAAAACAAATAAAGCTCCCATTCGGACTCCATTACATCTCATCATATTAAATTAATTTTTCCTCTTTCCTATTTTTAACCACACAATTTTCAATAAAATAATATTACACGTAAATCGAAAATTTTTCATTTTTTTACAACAATCAATTTTTCAAAAACAACACTACAACCCCCATTATAATCAAAATTAATGGGGCCAAATGAGGGTTGAGATGACAATGTATAGTCATTCTTATTGGTCAATATTCCTAATTTAATTGAAAACCTCTCCCTATAGTTATCAAATCTATTACTCTCATATGACCTTCCATCTCTCGATAAAAGATACGAAGATGATAAATGCATTAAATGATATAGAACGCATATGAAAACCATTTAAAACATAAAAGTATATCTCTATTATCTATCAAACCTTACAATGTTTATTATTTTTAGCTTAAAACATATTATCTCTCTCGATAACAATAGATTCCAATAAATTATCTCAATTCGTAACTAATTAATTGAGAAGTCAGTGAAAACAATAATAAAAATCCAAAAAAACATACATACTATAAGTCAAAATAATTTATTAATATCAAAATTCTCATAATAATGGTTCATCTCATCCTAACAATATTAAAATCTAGTCAAGTATAATGAAATTACAAGAACATATTCTAAAGTTAATAAATATCACCTAGAATTTAAATAACTGGTAAGAAATCCTGAATTCTTGAATAAATTCGATGAAATCTTGATATCTGATGAAGTTTCTTTCCAATCTTTGTACAATCTTCATAGTATTAATTATGCTCAATAGTTTTTTTTGCAATTTCTTGGTTGAAATCTTTTACAAAGATGAATTTATCCTCTTCTCCAATATGATTCTCTCAATATCTTGATTTGTTTGTTACATATAAGGGACTCTCCA